TTCCTGGAACAGAAAGAACCATGAGGAAAATAATTTTCAGTCCCAGAAGAAAGTGAATAAAATTCCTTAAAAATTTGGGCTGCCAAGGGAGGAACTACTGCAATATATATAGTCCATAAATATATTTAAAATATCTGAGCTGCAGTGGCCAGTATGATGCCTTCTGGGAAGTAGGTATATTTTTCCATTTCTTTCAAGATTTGTTGTACTGTTTTGAGTGACAGAAACTCAGATCTATGGAAAATGGAAAAATTCAGAAGTGAGTGTATTCTTTTCCCTGGGCAGGCATTTTGGTTCACCTGAAGAAATACTGATCCTCCTCCCTTGCTGGTGCAAGTCAGATGGCCTTTTTAAAATTCCACAAATAATATTTTCATTACACAATTATTAGGGATTTTATATGGTGAGCTTTCTGGGTTACTATGGTATAAATGATATTACGTTTAGGCAACACACGCATCATATCCTTCAGATTCAACTGCTAACTAAATGAAAAAAGAACACCCTTTGACTACAGTTCTTGGACTTCAGTCAGTCAACCTTTGAAGAAACAGAATGTATTTTCTGTATAAATCAGACCAGACTTAAACAAATGGATCGATTTACATGCTGAATTTGAAGTTAAGATTAGGTATACAAAGGATATTACAAGAAACTGTGGTAAAATTAAAAAAAAAATCAGTACAAAGCTAAAGTTTATTGCCAGTACTGTTCTTGCCGATCAAAGCTATGCTAATGTGATCTAGGGTTACTTTAATATTTTGCAGCCTCTCATTCCCTCAGCGCGTGTTTTAAGCATGCATATCACTCACTCGCTTTTATAATAAAATAACTTGCAAAAGCCTTCTGCTTTGTATTGGCCTCCTGAGGTAGAAAGTCACAGAGATTTTAAGTCTCGCATTGCTTGCACCAGCTTCATTATGTTTGATGAAAGAAATATCGTGGTCATATCTCATAACATGCAGTACTTCCTCAATAACCAGATTGCTTTAAGGAAGGACATTTTTCACCTGGATAATGAAATCATATCGTAGTTATTTTCCTGGTCTTCTGTGTACGATACGTATAGGATGTTGGCTACATATTAATAACTACTGCACAGAATGATGGAAAGCTTTGAAAAGGGATTTTGTCTTTAGAGATGGATGTGTGGAGTCTCTATGGTCTTCCTGAAAGATGTACTGTGCAGCTTTTTATTCTCTGAGAGGAAGAGATGTGTGTATAGTCTAAATATAATTATGGGTCAGAGTGTAAATAGTAGGCTCTGTGAAATCCATGACTAAGACCAGACCTATCAATTATGTCAGTGGGAGATCACTGCCAAGATCAAATGTAGATTATAGGCCTGGCTACATCTGCAGTCATGAAGCTTTGCTGGTGCGCCAGTCTTGGTGTGCTACCTTTAGCAAAGGGCGTGTTACAAATGTGGACGCAGCACATTCCTGCTTACTGCGGGTGAGATGCTCTTCCCCCGCCCTCCCCGCCTTCCCAGAAAAAACAACCTCCACACAACTGTGTCTGCACTAGGGCTTTTGCTTGTGTAAGTAACTATATGTCAGTTTGGTTCATGCTCATATCAGGAGTATTTATTTACCAGCTCTGACTCAGAAGCTTCTTACACGCGTTAGATAACAGCTGCCCGATGAAGGTGTGCTGGCACAAAATGATCTGAAGCCTGGCCTTCAGCTCATGGCCTAACAGGGCTAAGCTGAGCTCTTGCCCTATACCCCGGTGAAGGGGTTGAGCAGTGACAGGGGAGGCCCAGGATTTCCCGTTGTCTATGTGACTGAGAGGCACAAAAGGGGGAATATCTGGCATGCTACCATCACCATGCTGTGCGTAGTCGGGCCGGGATTCTGCATTATTCTGTGTTACATAAGCAGGTAGAGTCCTGTGCATGGCTATCAGAAACTGCAGTAAGGACCTTTAAATAAGAGATCCAGCCTGTTGGATTTCCTGCTCTTTTTCCTTTTCCAAGGTTCACTGCCCATCAGCCTTCAGGCATATCTTTGCAGCTGTATGCCTACAGCTGAAAAGCAGCCATGTACCCGAAGCTCCAGACTACATCTTTATTGCATCTTTTAGTCTTTGAGTAAGGTCTTGGCCATTCTGGACTAACTTGGGGGGTTCATATTATCTTTAAATTGGTAGAAAGTATATGTTAACTTTTACCAAGATCTATCTAAACAGCTATGAAGAAAACACTTGGTCTTTCTGTGAAAATTCCTTCCTAATCTCTATGAGTATACGTGACTTACTTTCTCTCAAGAGCATAAACTCCATGCTGACTACATTGCAATCCAGAGGGTGGTGGGTGAACACCTTCATCCAATAGTCCTGAAAGCAGGACAGTAAATCCTCATAGTTGCCAATTCCTTTCCTTCTATTGGATCTTGATGGACATTTTCATAAGACTCTTGATTCCACATGAGGCAGAAATCGAAATAATTAATTGCCTGGGATAACCCCAAATCATCTTAGAGCATCCAGAACCCCAGTCAGTCATCAAATTAAAATTGCAAAGGATGCTTTTCTTTCTAATCTTTGTCTTGGTAAGCAAGTAGAAGTAAAAGCTCCAAGCAGATGCCTAATTTGCCCTGAAACAATTCAATAGAAAACTGTTGGTCTTCTTGGGCATAAGACAAGATTACTATTTTAAAACAAATTAAGGCTTTTCAGTGTACACAGGACAGTATAATGACTGTTGGATTTTTGTTTGTTTGTTTGTTTTTGCCATACATTTTTGCATGGGTTTTATAACTGAGGGATTGCAAGGCATTTAATACAGAAGGAAAAGAGATGTTGAGTGCAGAATCTTTGTTAAACAAAGAAGTAGAAAGAACTTATCGAAAAAGGCTCGGAGGCAAACCAGTTACAGACCCATTGGCAGCAAAATGACCTGCTCATTCATCTTTCAAATTAAATACAAAACTTAGGTCCATGTAATTTGTGGCCATTTGAAACACTTGCATATTTTTTACTAAAGTCTGAATGCTGTTAATTTCGGTCTCCTGGCCAAACTCCAAACAGAGTGATTATTCTGCTTACTCCTTTCCTAAATTACAGCAACAGCTTCATAGGGAACAAATGCGTTCATAATTTGCTGACCTAAACTGCTCTTATATTGCTATGCACTATTAACAGTTGCTGTATTTCAAGCTATGGGTGGCTGCACTGGCGTGGTGGATTAAATGACCTCTGGGCAAAGCATGTATATCTTTCATTTGTTTAAAGTGCTTTGGGACAAAAGGTGCTGTATATATAAATGCTATCATAAAAATCATTTTAGACCCAAAATGTGTGGGAGCTGAAATGTGTTCTCTGAACAGGAGAAGCTCTTGGCATTCAGCAATACGGCTGGATAAAGGAAAGAGACTATGACTATTTGGGAACAGAGAATGTATGCCCATGGGCTGGGAAGCTGGTGGCCAATGATTGCCATGGAAAGGTGCTTTCACTGAGAAGCATTGCAAAATTGCAGAGCAAAATGGGAAACAAAAGGAGAATGGAGATTTACATGAAACAGGAGGCTCGGTGCTTTGGGGATACCTGCTCCTGTAAAATGAGGCTAGCTGGCAGGCTGCATTTTGTTTTCAGAAGTAGAGGAAAAAAAAGTTGAGAAACCTGGTAAACTTTTTCAGAGATTCAATGCATTGTTTCTTAAGGTTCTATATTTTCTTCTGATTGTGTTGCAGCTTCTTTAAAAAAGATCCATACTCTGCCTGGAAGGTGAGAGAAAGACTGAGACAGCGTAAGGTATGAACAAGAGGCTTTTACCCACTTATTCTTCATACAAGTAGAGATTGTACTGGAGAGGTTTTTTTCTTGAGTAACTTGAGTTAAACAAGTAGAAGGCAGGGCTGGGTTCCCATTCTCCCATTCTGCTAAGTGTAAGCAGCTCCTTTCTCCTTCACTGAGTTGCAGGCTTATGGTCAGGAAAAATCAGAAATTTATTCCAGCACCAAAGCTGCCACTGAAATATATTTTTAAATGGATAAAAGTCAGTTTAGTACTTAGCAAAACTAAGAAGATAGGACCTTCTTCAGAGAGCTGGTGATGTCTTGACACAGTGCTGTAACCCAGTGGCACTGCCAGTACAGGGTCCTGGAACTGCAGTGAACAAAAAGTCACACATCCTGTGCATTTTAGCAGTCAGAGAGACTGCAGACCATTGTGGATGGTCTCCTAACCCTTACCAGAACAAAAAGTGTGTTTAGAGAAATAAAAGTCATCTTTGAATAGGCTGCTATGAGTAAAACGGGTTCACTTTTCAGCAGAATTTATTTGCTATGAATAATTTGACTAGCTTTGTTTAATTGGCAGACACAGCATTAACCAACCATATCACATATCCCACAGGCTCTGAATCATGTTAGAAGCCTGTTGCACTGTTAAATGATCACTAGTTTTCCTGTTTCAACAATTATTTTAGTTAATCTTGCCAAGTATCCTTCCATTGATGGCAGAACATAATGTTAAATATTTTAAATTACAAAATATCTTTAGGATGGTGCCTGAACAGCATTTACCTCTCTCTCATCTTGGACTTTATTACTTTATCTTTCAGGAAAAAAACTTCAAAAGAAAATATAGAAAACTCTTAGTAAACACAGTGAGTACATTACTAACAATTTCAACAGAATTACAGATTCTCATTTTGATTTTCAATAGAATGTAGACATCTTAATCACATAGGAAAATCAGCAAACCCTGCAATATTTGGGTCTGAGAGTGAGTCAGTTGTTGATTGTTGACTTGAAGGACTGAACCTGGAAATTAAAACTAACAGTAGATTCCTAAGCCTCTCACGTGAACCAATTTGTGTTTTCACAAATATTCTCAGTCATATGTGACAAGGAATCTTATAATAAGGAATCTAATTTTAAGCTTTCATTTCTAATATCTCTGTTAAAAAAGCAGCTTGGTAAACCAACAAGTCTGAACAGCATCCAGACCACCAGGTATTTCTCATTACATTAAAAAAAAAAAAAAGTGCTTACCTTGTGCCTTACTTGATGATATGTTCCACTTTAACATAAGCTTTTTTTGTAAGACGAAAGTTGAAAAAAGACTTTAATGAAGATTCACTCCTCGGGAACAGTGAATAGATATCACAAGCTAACATTTCTCCGTCGTATGTCCTCTTCAACAGAGACACAACTCCGTAACATATTTGAGTGCTTGGTTTTGCAAAACTGGCATGTTCTTAAAAACGTTGCTAAATAAGATCATTGTGTACTACATTCATGTGCCAAAATACACATCCCCTATAAATGTAAGACACATACGCATTTAGGCATCCAGGACAGGGTCTCAGAATTGGCTTTTTAACTTTAAAAATACAGGCCTCTATTATGGGCTAAATGCTATTCTCTCTATAAGACAACCATAACATTTGTGTACCCAAAATCAGCAGAACTGGTTCTCTCAAATTATAGCAAACTATCAGAAACAGAAGACAGAAAAGATTTAGGCCCAAATCCTGGCCATTTATAAGTCAAAGGCTGATTTGTCATTCCCTTAAAATAGACTGGTGACAGTCTATTTTAACTGATTACAGTACAATTACTTTGTACTGTAACCAATTACTTTGAAGCTGACTTTAGAGCAGAGTACAGGAACTGTGTATGAGATAGATCACATTTCCTGTTATGACCACAGATGCATTAGCTGGTATGCAGATCAAATATGCACAGTAGTCTTCTATATACTGGAACTCATACGGTAAAACAGGTCCATGTAATCAGGCAGGAATTTGGAAGGATGCAAAAATAAAAATGAAGTCCTAACATGGGATTTAATTGATTGGATATAGGGGCAGGTACAAAACCACTGCTCAAGGAAAGGCTTAGACAGTATGCAGAAACAGTTGGAGTGGTCTTTGTTGCCTTAGCATCAATTGTGACTGAGAATATTGTAAGGCTGTTTTGCAGGATCTCATGAAGGAATACCCTGAAAAGCATAATTCTGTGGAAGCCCATCAGCCTGGATTTAAAGACAGAAATGTTCTACCACATTAATTTTCTTGCTTTCTTAGAGGATACAGTGTCACAGCTGTGGCCAGCAAGGACGATACGGGGGATGTAATGCAGAGCGTGTTGAAATAAAAGAATACGATTCTCTGCTTTAGTAAGAATTGCACAGCAGGAGAAAAAGCATGTAATGGATAAAAATCCATCTTTGAACAGGATGCTGAGTGTGATGATTAGAAAATGGGACATTTCCTTAAGGATCTGAGAGAGCTCTTCCATTTATCACTGCATCTAATTGTAGGTGATGGAAATATCAATTTTAAAATAATCAATTGCTTATGAAACCAACATCGAATATAAAGAAATTGCGGAATATTGTGAATATATCCTAGGAGATTTATCTTTTAAAGATGATAGTGGAGCAAGGTGATCAGTGAATTCCAATACACACAAACTTAAATTAGGACTCCTGAGTTTGTATAAATACATACCGCATGTATTAAGAACATGTTCAGAGTAAAACAAAACTAGAGGATTTTAAAAATTCGGTCTGCTTTAATCTTAAAAAAAAAGCACCTGAACAGCTGTCCCAGTGATTTAGAGGAATTAACCCTATTGAGGGTTTGAGGGGGAAAAGGGCTTAGCTGAGAGGTACTGAAAAATATGTTTCCTAGTCTAGGGAAATAATGCAAAAATGATGCTTGGCTAACACACGGTCATTGCTCTTGTTTGCTTTCTGAGGGGATTTTGCGTTTTTTGTTTATATGATGGAAATCATGAGTGTTTAACCACAGTCCTGGAGACTTTGCTCCAGCACAAAATGTTCACCCCTCCAAACTGCGGGCGTGGCATATCACTTTCCACATCTCATACAGTTTTTCTCCTGTTGGGAGCCCAATCACTGTGTATTTGCAAAGCAAAGTGCACCGAAGTCTCAGTCTCTAAAGTGCTTCAGAGCTACAGCTCTAGCAGAGAGAATATTCACGCAGGTGGGAAGGAAATAAAAAGTAAGGAGGGAGAAAAGACAGAGGAAAAGAGAGGAGGCTGAATGAAAATATTTATCTGGATTTAGTGGGATAAATACAGGCCACTTCCCTAAGTAGACACTGTTCTACCTCTCCAGATTTCCTGACAAGACAGGAAACTCAGGTTTATTGTTAAATTCCTATCTGTGGACTTTACTTCCCCCCTGTACTGCCCCCGTGTGGCCTTAGTTCCAGATCAGAGGTGTAAAAAATGGTTTGGGAGCAGAGTGAAGTCAGTGGCGTCAGATTTTGGACATTTGGATTCAGGTGCTTAATTTGGGGTATTTTAACCAATGCTGCTGCTCTTCTGGGCTAAAATCTCTTGCTGAAGATTAGAATCTGTTGCAGTTTGATCCGAACAGTAAGTCTGATCCTCAGCCCGGGTGCCCTGCCAGCAGGCCATGCTGGCAGCTAAACACCAGTGGCCTGCCCTATGCCTTAGCCTGGGGATTTGTACCCTGGTTACTCTTTGTGTGGCTTGTGTGAAATGAGCTGGTGGCTCCTGTCCAGCACAGGAGCCGGGCGTTTGTGTCACTGAGATCAGTAACTCCAAGCAAATGGCACGGCTGGCACAATTAGATTGCTGTCAAACAGCGAGCAGAGAGCTGAGGGCTTTGGGGCACTGGGGCTGTGCCGCTTCCAGGCATGCCTCCTACACCGTGGTGAAGTGAACCCCCCCCTAATTACAGACAATGCTGAATATATTTCACTGACCTAGAGAAGATTTTTTGTCTCCAACACTCACTTCCTTGCACAGCTCTAAACTTTCAAGAAGCACAAAACAAAATAAAAATAAAAAATCCCACACTCCTGGCTGGCAGGAGCCAGCTGTTTATTTTACCATTGTCGGTCACCATGGGGTGACTGTGCCCACGCCCTGGGCTGTGTCTGAACAAGGTCTGACTACAGCCACTTGGAGCCGACTGGTTGTGGCTGTGTGTGGTGCTGCAGACCATTTTCCTCTCTCGAACAGGCAGGGTTACCTGACTCAAAGTCACCTCTCCTTCCTGCCTCGTGTGCTTCACTGTACTGCACCAGACCGCTGCCAAGGTACGGACCTGGCTTTCCAAGAATAATTGCTTGGGGTATAGGCAAATGTCACTCTACTAAAGTCGATGGCAATGCATTGGCTTACACTGAATTGTGCCCCGTAAATATTTCTACATCAGTGATTTGCTGGGCAGTGTTTTATTTTAACTGCTTCCTTAACTAATACCAAAATGCAGCATGGAGAGGGCAAACAGCCAGAGCTCTGGGTTCTCTTCCTGGCTCAGCCGTGGTGACACTCTGTCTGTTTTGCTGTCTGTGACATGGGAATAATAATACTAAAATTGCTTCATAAAGTGCTTATATAGCTACAATGCACTATATAAGAATTAACTGTTATTACTGTAGACTTTGGGAGCCAGATTTTGAACTTTCCATGCGCTGATGGGTCATCAAATTACCATAAGCCTATCTGGAGAAATAATTTTAGAAGTGGATTGTAGAAGAGCACAGACTGCCAGAGAAACCTTACATTGCATGTCAAATTGAAGGCTGTTCTCCCACCATCAAAACATAACAGGAGGGAACAGACCCAGACCGCAGCAGGTCACAGCAGCCATTTCGTCTGCTAGGAGAAGTGAACTGGGGAAAGTTCATCTGCATATGGTCTGAAGAAAAACCTCAGGAGAAACAATGGATAAAAGAAACAAGTGTTGTGAAACTGAAATAGGATGACGCCAGTCAAGCCACATGACCTTGGATGCTTCCTTGTGTCCTTTCCTGCTTGTTTGTGAATGCCTTTTTCCTCCAGCTCAGGCACTCTTCTGTTTCAGCTAACACAAATGACAGCCTTCTACTTTCGGTCTGAGGGAACAACAAAGAAAGCAGAAAGAACAAATGTAACTTTCTGTGAGCAACCAGTCTGATCTTTACCAGGCTGTAGCAGCTCGGAACAAAATGGCTAATGCCTCTGTGACCAGGCTGAGTGCTTCCAGCTTTCCAGGAAGGAAAATGCACAGCGAGCTTGTGGCCACACACCCCATGCTCTGACTTCCAGGTTCTTCTTGAGAAAAGGCAAAAGGTGCTGGTAGAATTTCCCCAGACATCAGTAACAGAATGTGAAAAAATAGATATCCCTTTTATCTAAGAGTCATGATTTTTCAACAGTGCATCCGTTCTAGAATAAAATACTACCCAGCATGCCCTGATTACAGTATGCAGGCCTAATTAATCACTGAGGAAACATCTTCACAGTCATAAAAATCAATCTGCAATTATTTGACACTGATCTGATAACGACTGGTTCGTGGAAAGAAGCTTGGATTTTGGCACCTCCCTCCCAGAAGATTTCCAACCTGGAAAGAATACGATTTGCAAATAACAATGATCTGTACCTTCCAAATGTGTCAGAAAAGAAGACATCTGACATGCCTGGCTATTAAAGCAGAGATTTTACAGCTCTTCTTCTCTTTGTTCCCTCTAATTTTTGCAAATTTCTCATTTCCCATATTAGAAGCAGTGCTTTCCATTGTTGGCCCCCGTCCCCTTTTCCACTAGTGCTCTCAGATGTTCAATATAGCCTCCTGTGCTAAATTTTATGCAGATTGCCTTAGGTGCTTCTAACGTCCTTGATCACAGTGATTATGAGCAAATAAGAAAGCGGATTAGCAAAGGTTAACAATTAACTGGACACAGAAACATCTGGAGAGAGCTGGTTAAAGAATATCTGCTCTGCTCAGTGAAAGAAGGTATATGGACAGATTCATGAGCTTTTGCAGAGATAAAAGTATGCAATGAATAAGTTATCATTGCAGAAGGTACAATTCATTCATCACTTGTGGCAATAATCTGGTGGCAGGATGATGAAAAATCTGCCATACATTTTCGTGTTACCTAGAATTTGTAGATTGTGCATGCCTAGGACAGGCCATCCCCCGTGTTTGAAGGAACAGTAAATTGCTGCGTCCCATTTGGGCTCTGCAGGAGAAATCTCTTCTGATTCTCTGTCCCAATCCTTCAGCAAATTACAAGCTAAGGGACAAAGTCACCCTAAGCTGCTGACTGCTACAGTCCCTTTTGCTGTCCTCCAAAGCAGACTCCATTGTGGGCTGGGGCTTAGTGAACATGTAGCCCCACTAACTCATTTTGCAGCAGCTACATGATGATTTTACAGGACAGAAAATATCCCCAGACAATTTTACCTTTTGGTCTTTGGACCAGATGCTGCTTCATTTCCCTGGTGTGAGTCAGAAATGGCTCAGTTACAACAGGATAAATTAGATAAGGCCATTGGCCTCAGTGGGACAACTGAGTTTGGCCCATTGGATTAGGCCCCTCACCTTATTAAAAGTCAGTATTCTGGCTGCAAGGAATAATATTAACAAAATAAAATAAAATTGAAATTCACATCAGTTGGGATGTGCTCTGGATGGGGTCGTAACAGGATAGAATAT